CACCCCTCCCCACCAAGGAAGCTCAGGCCGGGGCCCAGCACCGGGGTTCGCATCTCAGCCTGTTTCATACTCGCTGTGTGACCTCAGGCCAGTTCCTTGACCTCTTCATGCCTCAGTCCCCTCTTATAAAGTGGGCACGATCGTTGTTGGAACCTCGTAGAGTTGTTAGGATGATAAATGAGTTAATGATGTAAAAGAGTAAGAGTGTCTGGCACAAAGTGAGTGCTGTCTTATCGTCACTACCACCATCACCTCCAGCTCGTCTGCTCCACTGGCACGATGCTCCCTTTGCACTGGGACGGGCGGGGAGCAGGGGGACCTTTAGAAGAGGGGACCCACAGAGACTTGAAGGGCCCAGGAAAGGCTTCACAGAAGAGCAGTTCTGGAGGGTGGCATTTGAAGACTGGATGGAATGTTTAATTGATAGGAACGGGAGAAGGGCAATTAGAAGGGGACAGCATGGGCAAAGACATGGGGTCAGGAATGTTCTGGGCAGGTTGGGGAATGGCCCAGGAAGTCGTAGTTGATGAGCCTGGAGGGTCGCAGCTGGGGGCACAGGTTGAGGAGGGCCTTGGAAGCCAAACCGAAAGCTCTGAACTTAATTGACTGGGCAGCGGGGAGCTACTAGATCTAGAAAGGCATTGATTCTAGACATCCCTTACCTGGCTGTCTCACCAAAATTTTTCATTGGTTCTAGTAGACGAGATGATTTTCTGGGCTGAAGATAACCCAGCTAAAGATGATTTTGGTGTTTCCCCCCAGTGGTTGCCCCTGTTATGTCTCTTGTCTTCTTGTACTGGCTAAAGCTTTCAGAACAATTTTCAGTGATAATAGGTTTCCTTAACATGTTCCTGACTTTAATAAGAATGCCCCAAGTATTTCACCAATTAGGGATGATGTTGACTCTAGATTTAAGGTCAATATCAGATCAAAGAAGTATCCTTCAATTCTTATTTATAAGAGGTATTGTAAGGAATTAGTATTGAATTTTAGCCAATACCTTCTCCATAGCTTTGATAAAATCATATGGTTTTTCTCCTTTGATCCATTAATATGATTTCCCAACCAATGCTTTACTATCGACTCATCCTTGCAGACCTGGAATGAACCTTATTCTATCGTGGTATGCTGTTCTTGCTAATATTACTTCATCAGTCAGATAGTAGATTTTTTGCATATATGTTAATAAATTGTGAAACTAGCCTTTACTTTTAATTTTTGTGCACCTTTGTTAAGTTTTTATATCAAGATTATGCTAGCTTGGCAAAATGAATTGGGAAGATTTTCTTAGTTTTATATATCCTGGGAAAGTTTAATAACACAATATGTGTCCCTTGAAGGTTTAAAAGAACTTGCCAAAAACCCAAACAAAGAACTTGCCCGAGAAGCTCAGTGGACAAGGCAGCTTCTTTTAAAAAACAACTTTTTCTATTTTTTCTTAGGTGATTGAGCCATTCATGCTTTCTACCTCTTCTTGAGTTAACTTTGGTAATTCATGTTTTCCTAGGAAATTGTCCCTTTTGTTGAGATTCCCACATTTATTAGTGTAGCGTGCCATGCGTTTTCTTCTGTTGTTACCATCACCTCTCCCGTGTCTCTGCTTGTGTCTCCTCCTTGTTCCTTGTCCTGAGATGTGTGGTTTCTTGTTTGCTCTTGCTCTGGGTTCGTCTGCCCTATTGGTCTTTTCAAATAACGGTTCTTGTTGTATTTATTGTTGTGTCTGCTTTTCTGTTTCCTAATTCATTATTTTCTGCCTTTTCTTTATCGAGTCCTTCCTCTGCCTTTCCCTAGGCTGACTTGATTGCTTGTTTACCTGGCATCTTGAGTTGAGTGCTTTGGTGAGGCACTGCACTTCTGCTCTAGGGGTCACAGTTTCACAGCGTGTGGAACAGTGGCAGGAACAGTTGGGGTTCAGACATGGCCAACAGAGCAGCTCCCCACAGAAGAAAGAACCCAATCCCGGGAGCAGGAGAGCTGGATTCCAGTCCCAGCCTTGCCTCAAATCAGCTCAGTGTCCTTGGGCTCGTCCCTTCCTTCTCAGGACCCTCTTGTCCATCTCAGGCAGCCAGGTGGGATGTAGACCTCCTGAGGCTGGGCCCCCACGAGCTCCCCTGCACTGGGCAGCCTCTTACCAGGACAACACCTGTCTTTCGGGAGGCCAATTTGACCTCCCCAGTGTGGTCCTGGCTCCCACCCCAACACATACATCCACAAAACTGTGCAGTTGAATTTCCTTCTACCTGATGGAGCCAATAAGCCATGTGACAGTGTGGCCTGAAGGTGAGGCTCAGTCTGGGCGTCCCAGCTGAGACACGTGGAGCCTCTGGACTCGTGGGCAGACGCACAGCCAGGTGTATGCTCAGACAGTGGAGTGGAGTGGCTAAACACGTGGACTTTGACACTGGATTGCTTGGGTTTGAATCATAGCCGTTACTGTGCAGCCATGGACAAATTACTTGACCTTCCTGTGTCTCATTATCCTGTGAAATGGGGACCTAATAGGGTTGTTGAGGGTTAAATGAGTTAATAACTTAAAATACTGAGAACAGAGCCTGGGGTTTTGTAATTTCCGTGTTAGCGTTTGTGGTTGTTGTTGTCATCATCAGGGTGTGAGCCTGGGGGCAGGGCCCGGGCAGGAGCTGCTCCCCTGGTTGGTGGGGGAGCCAGCTGGTCAGAACATCCTGGCCCTGCTGCCCTCTCTGCGTGCCTCACAGTCTGGCCCCCGGCATTTCCGTCTTGTCCTGACCAGTCTGACACTTGCGCCCACTGAGATGTGTGGTTTGCTTCCTCAGACGTCTGTCCAGCAGCCCTCGGGTCACCAGATCTCTGTAATGAGTGTGGAGAAGCCTGCTCCCCCACCCCCATCATGATGTGTTTAAGGTAGAGGAGGGGCCTGGGCTGGTGTTAGGAAATGTGGGCTGATGTACCTGCTCTGCCACCTGCTCCCTGTGGAACCTGAGCCAGTTGCTCCCCCCTCACCATAGGTCTCAGTTTTTCCATCTACAAAATGGCTACAAGGGTCTTTCAAGAAGAGCTCCAAGAGCCCCTCCTGCACGGATCCTTGGCTGCAGGTGGAGGGGCTGTTAGGGACTCCAGGCAGCTCCTGCTTCTCTAGCAGGGCCCCTTCTTTCATTCACTTGACAACTATTGCGAGGCCTCTGCCGTTCCCACCTTGGGGTGCAAAGACTTGATCCTGGAGCCTATCCTCCGTGGAGAGAGGAGCTGCTGCAGAGGGGTGCTGGAGCTGGGTGGAAGGAGGGTGAGAGGGGAGGCATAAGAGGACGAGGGTGGGGGGACCTCCTTACATCACCTTGTAAGTGTGGTCAGTTCCGTCAACTCCACTTTGCTGTTTAAGCTCAGCTCTCGTGGGGAGTCACGTGCAGTTCACGTAGGGGATCAAGGACTCCCAGAGGAAACTCCTAGGGCGTTCACTGCCCTGTAGCAATGCCTCGTGTGAGGGGACACAAACTGCCCTTGTGAAAGCCAGGGAGGGAGTGAGCAGAGGGAGGGAGGGAGCCTGCTGTCTGGCGGCTGCCTGGTGTTCTGTAAGGTTCTGGGAAGTAAGCAGAACCTTGTGAAAGGAGGCAGCCTCTGGATGCTGGCTGGACAGTCTTTGGTGACTGGTACTAGGAGAGCTGTTCATTCATCCGGGAACATTCATGGGCTCACACCCTGTGCTGGCTTGGACTCTGTGGGGGGTGTTGGTCAGAGGGGGTCTGTCTCCTTGGACTAGTGGAGCTGGAGCTCAGAGTCGTCCACCTGTGTGCCGCCTGCACTGCCCTGCTGCCCTGGGGAGGCTCCGGGGCCCAGCCCGGCTCTGGGTAGTCAGGAGCTGCTCCCCCACGCTCCGGACCTCTTCTGGCCTCTCCAGTCCTGTGTCCACATCCAGAAGAGGTTGAGGTTCCGCCCTCCATCCCTCGTCCCAAAGCTGCCTCATTTCCCACCCACTTCCCAGGATGGCCGACAGCGGGTACGTTGCTTTCTTTCAGGAGCAACTGCCAGTTCCACCCACGGGGGTGGGGTCTCATCCTGAGGCGTGACCGATAATCCCAGAGCAGTCCGATCTCCTGTGGCCTGGGCTGTTGGTCTTGTCTGTGAGCTCCCTGGCACACACATACGAGGGGCAGAGTTTGAAGGGGCTGTAGCCCCACTCGGTCCCTGAGAGGTGGACAGCCTCGGTCGCACCTCCCTTACGGAGTTCCGCCACCTTGGGGTTTTCTTCCACGTGGCCTGGGGCCCAGCACATTGGGTGCCCCACTTGCTCACGCCGTTATTCACCAGGAGCCTACTGGGCGCCAAGCCTTGTGTCGGAGGCAGGTTTTCGGGGTGATGAGTGAGGTGTCACCCCTGCCCTCCAGGAGCTGGGAGCCTGCAAACAGGTGGACACACACCCGCGGGAGTGTCTGCCCCTGAGGGCCGAGGCCTCGCCTCAGTGTCCCAGCGCCCGGAGCAGTGTCTGCTATCAGAAGGTGCTTCCTGCACCTCCACCGAATGAACGACTGGCTCTAGGCCAAAGGAGGAACTCAGAGGGACCAGACACGGAGCTGTAGGGCTCTGAGGCGGGTGTACCCCTGCCCACTGTGGGGGGCTGTCGGGAAGAGGAGGACGGGGCTCTGAGCTGGTCTTGGAAGGCGGGCGGTGCCGGGCCTGTGCAGCTGGCGAGGGAGCTCCGTGCAGAGGGCGCGGCAGAAGCAAAGGAGTGGAGGGGAGAAGTGCACGTCCTCCTTGGGCAGGAGGGAGCCGGGGAGCTGGCTGGAGCTCCAGTCTCCCAGGGACACTGCTGAGCTGCCCCGGCTCCTGCTGAGTGGAGCCAGGGTGGCAGGAGGGGTGTGTGTGTCTATGTGTGTGTGTGTGTGTATGTGTGAGCGACGGCGGGACCTGGGGGCACGCTGGCGTTTGGCGACCAGACGTGACAAATGTGCAGATGTCCCGGGAGCTGTGGACATGAGCGGCCGGCTGCAGAGATGCTCACCCCGTGATTTGTTGCTTTGATTCCTCAGGCCGCGACTTGGCAAGCACGACCCTCCCTGGGTACCCTCCGCACGTTCCCCCCGCTGGACAGGGCAGCTACTCCGCGCCGACGCTGACAGGGATGGTGCCTGGTGAGTGTGCACGTCTCCACAGCAGGCAGCGGACGGGGTTCCGGGGGGGCACCCCACAAACAGCCGGGTGACCTCTGCTTCTGAGAAGTGGACTGAATAATCAGGCAGAGGTCTGCGCTTGCCTCCTCTGCTGGGCCTGCGGTGGGCCCGACAGCCAGCGGCAGCACTGGAGGACATCAGAGGGAGGGGGCGCTTGGGTGTCACTCAGACTGCCCCTCGCTGGTCACATGGGAAGTCTGAACACAGAGGAGTGCAGGACCTGGCCAAGGGTCGCCCAGCCAGTAGGAAGTGGGGGGCCCTCTGCCATCCTCTCTCCCATCCTCCCCCCTCCCCCATCTACCCAGTTTGTGTGACATGAACAAAGGAAGCCCCCCACCACCAGGTGCTCCTGGTGGCCTTACTCCTTGGGGTTGAGGACACTGTGCTCAGGACGGACAGGATGTTGGCTGGTGGATTTGTCACTAGATTCTAAACTGAACACCCTGAGGCCATTGAAACCTGATCCCCTCAGCCCAGCTGTCAGTTTCCTTCAAGACATTTGGAAAGGAGGCCACTATGTCTCCTTCCATTGCGGGGTGGTGTGGGACAAGCCGACACGTCATCACAGTGCTGGCTGTCCCTGTACTCAGGGCGTGAGCAGAGCAGGGATACTCAAAGCATCGTTTTTGGAAAGATGTCAAAAAAAAATCAGGGGGGAAATCAGTTGGATGCTGTTACACTGCTTTGTGGGTTCGTGTTGTCTCTTGTTTTGGGTCATTTACAGGGGTCACACCACTCATTCAGTGCTGGGGGCTCTGTGGGCCCACTCCTCTCTGACACACACTGTTGACTCTCTCGGGCGTTTGAAAAAGCCAGGGTGGTTATTTCACCCCCTCCTTACCCAGCTGGCCTTCTCTCTGGGGCCTCAAAGCAGCTCTGAGAAGTAGGCGGGTAGATCATTCACCCACTTTCTTGGTGAGGAAATTGAGCCCAGAGAGGGGCTGGTGTGTGCCTAAGTCACCCAGCAAGTAGGAGGCAGAGCCGCAACTAGAGCCGTGACCCCGCATGGACCTCCCTTAGACCCTGGCAAGAGGGGCCTGCTCTGCAGCCGCTCCCTAGAGGGTCCTGCTCTGGCCCTGCAGGGGCGATGTCCCCCTGACCCGCAGACAGGGGAATCTGCAGGACCAAGGGGACCTGCCCACCTGGGCCCCACACCCCTCCTTCTAGCCCACCCTGGATCCCTGCCCAAGCAGCCCCAAGCCTCTTCCAGCTGCTTCCCCAGCCCACGTCCCAGGGACTGGCTCTCTGTGGTGGGTGGACAGAGCTTGGATGGTGGGGGGTCTCGCAGGACGAGGAATGGAGCTGGGGGGAAGGGGAGCAGGCACATCAGAGCCCAGGTGGGCTTTCCCCATGCAGCCAGGCCTAGCGCAGACGCCAAGGAGTGCCAGGATTCTAGCTGTGCTCCTGGCCTCCCAGGTGATTACGAAGATGTATTTAACAAGGTAGGAGGACAGAGCATATTTCATTTAACGGTTTGTTAGCTTGATTTATGACTTTTAAATATGAGACATATGGGACATGGCCTCCGTGTGTGCTCTTGGCCTGGGCCTTGCCAATGCCAGGAAGGCCTGCCAGGTCCACACCTGCAAAGCCTTTGCCTTTTCTGCTGCAGGGCTGGCCCAGGGCAGAGCAGAGGGAAATAGTGTGCACAGGGCAAACAGGGTGGTGGGACGCTCGCCCTGCCCCCGCCCCCCATCTCCCAACGTTACAATTAGGGCAGCCTCCGGAGAGGAGCCCATGCCACATCCAGTAGCGGCCCTTGCATTGACGCAGCACTGTATAGAATGCAGAGCACTGTCCCAGGAGCCCTCTGATGTCACAGCCCTGGGAGCTGGGCGGGGCCCAGAGTGTAAGGAGTGTAATCCCCGTTTTCTGAAAGAGGAAAGCATCTAGGGCACAGCCTGCAGGTAGGTGGACGTGAACCTGTGTCTCTTCCCTCTGATTCAGCTCTCCTTCTCTGACTGGCTGCCTGTGTGTGCTCTGAGGCTCTCCACGTGAGCTTCTCAGTGATGGCAGAGGGAGAGGCGGCCGCCCCAGACCCTGTCCCCAGGGCATGTTGGCAGGGGAGGCTAAGGCCACCCAGCTGGCCCTGCTGGCTCCCCACTGCAAACCCCGAAGAGGCCGAGTTCAGAGAAGCAGCTGAACTTTCCCGAGTTTATCCAAACAGAGCCTGCCCTCCAGCCTCCATGATTCCTCCAGCCCTAATTACCAGGCTCAGGATACAAATGGCCACGGGCCTGGCAGAGCCCCCAGCGGGAACCGATGGCGGCTCCTCGCCCATTAATGGTGGCAGCAGGAATCACAGGCCTGAGCAAGGGCACAGCCTAACCACACCTGCTGGCAGCAGCTGGACGGGGGGCCCACAGGGGGGGCCTCCGGAGCATGGTCCCCTGAGACTCTGCCCCTGGCGTAGGGGGAGGGTGCACAGTGTGGAGGGAGGGACAGGAGCGTTTCAGCAGGGGAGCCCCATGTCCTCCTCCCTCTCTCTTTCCTCCACCCCTTCCTTCTGGGTGCCTCTCGCTCTCTCTCCCCTTCTTTCTTATTTTCTGGCTGTCTCTTCTCGAACACCCAGCACTCACTCGGTGCCAGACCCAGTGTCATGGCTGGGAGTCCGAGTGCGGCAGGCACGGCCCTCAGTCCCTGTTCAGTGTCACACCTTTGGGACTCTGTTTCCAGTGTGATTTCCAAATCTGCCTCCTGGACGGCTTCACGGGGCAGTGCTGGCCCGCACTCCTGATCTTTGCTGGGACTGTCCCCCGGGTTGGCCCACAGCAAAGACGGCCCACCTTTCAGCTGAGCAGAGCCTGGGCCTGCCATTCAGGCATCGCCACGGTCTGGCCTCATCTCCCAGCCCGTCCCCCACGCTGACCACTCGCTGGTTCCCAGCACGCCTCCCACTCTCACCCATCAGCATCCCTGCTTAGTCTGTGCCCTCAGCTTAGACCACTTCCTGCCTCGGGCTGTTGGGATCAGTTCACCCTTCAGGGCTGAGCGCGAACGTCAGCTGCCCCATGAAGCCTTCTGGTGCGCCCTCCTTGGGAGACAGTGGCTTTGTTATGCCACGTGGCCCAGTGTGTTTGTGGCCCGGTTAGCTATGCCCCTGGGTGGGGAGCTCACTGAGAGCCAGGCCCTCTGCTTTCCTTGTCTTCTGCACCCCACACAGTCCCCAGCACATAGTAGGCCCTTTTGTGCGTGTGTTGGCTAAGGGAGGGAGGCAGGGAAAGTTCACGTTGACCCTCCTGTGAGTTTCCTGTGGCTGCTGGAACAAACATCCAGGGGTCGGCTGGGCTGTGCTCCCCCTGGAGGCCCAGGGGGAAGGACCCCTCCTTTCCTGTCCACCCGTGGCTCTTGCATCCTTTGGCTTGTGGCTACGTCACTGCATCTGCGAGTCCCTCGCTGCTCCGCCTTCTCCTCACTCTGTGCATGTGTGTGAAGTCTCCCTCTGCCTCTCCCTCCTAAGGATACATGTGACCGCATTTAGGGCCCCCAGATAACCCAGGGTAGTCTTCCCATTTCAAGATCCTTAACTTATTCACATCTACAAAGAACCCCCTCCACCCTTTTTAGGTATAGGTATAGACTGTATAGGTAACATTCATGGGTTCCAGGGATTAGGACACGGACAGACCACAGCCTGTTTGAGAATTTTAACTTCGTATTTGTTCAGATTTCAGATTCATAACCTCTTGGGCTTCTGAATCCAGAGGCATTCATTCCACTGTGGTGGAGCTGAGGTGATACCATGTCATTGACCCCAAGGGCACGTGGGCGGGTTTGGGAAAACCAACTCGGCGAGGCTTCAGGGGACCTGTGGATCCTGCGTCTGTCTCTGAGGCTGGTCCATGGTGATGGCCTCTGTCACTGTATGGAACAGTCCTCTCTCCTGCCTGGCAGTGAGTCCAGAGGAAACAAGAATCTTCTGAGTTGTTCTCCCTCTAGGTTCCGGGAAACTGGCTGCCGCCTCTTCCCTGTGTGAGGGAAGGCTTCCAGATATCAGGTTTGCCTTCAGGATGTGTTGAGGAGGAATGGCCTCCCGGGTCCGCAAAGGCAGTTGAGCTTTCAGGCCTGAAAAAATAGGCATTACATTTTTCCGTATTAAATGCCAGCTTGGACTCTTGCTTATTTCGAATCCTAATTCTGCCATCAGGGTGTCGTCTGCCCTTTCTGGCTCCACCGTATCCCCATGTCTGCCAAACGGGCGTTCTTGGTCTTCTCTGGTGTGTGCAGATTCCGTTTCTGCGGCCCTGCAAACCCTGCAGAGCCCTTTGCTGGGGAATTACATTGAATAAAGCAGACACGGCATGTCACAGCAGCTCAGAATGGAGAGGGTTTGCAGATCTTATTTTCATCAAGTCCCAGCAAATGCCAGAAGTTTTGCGCCAGAGATTCCATAGTGTCTTGATTGGTGTAACTAGTTGATTCCTGCCTGGAGATATTTGCACAACCTAACAGATATTGACATGGTATTTGAAACTCTTAAAAATTCTCGGCTGGGGGAAGAGAAGGGGCATTCGCTGCCCTTTGGCTTCAGTGAGTCTAAGTCTAAGCGAGGGAACCATCTTTGAGATGAACCAGTCAAGGAATGCCGGCCCCACGCACCCCGCCCCTCACTGGCCCCATGTGCCCCAGCCCCCACACACCCCTTATTTGTCTCCTCTTTGGGGCTTTAGGCCAGAGTGCAAGAAATCCTGACCGTGTGTCGAGTTCTTCCTCCCGGGGCTGCAGCAGACAAGAGACCGTCTGAAGGGAGGTCGGTCAGAGCAATGTGCGTGAAGGAGGCTGGCGGGTTCCTCTGGTCCAGGGCCCTGTACTTGCTGTGGATTGGGGTACATCATTTCCAGATGCCTTTCAGTTAAGTTGCTCAGTTAGCTGATGGCTTTTATCTTCTTGAAGAAGTAGGGGTGAGGGGGCGGGGGGAGTGGGAGCCTGAGGCCCGTGAGGAGGTCTGGAAGAGATGGCAG